CACAGGCCATGTATGCAGCCATGCAACCAGCCATGTCCAGGCAAGGCCTGAGCCTGATTCACCTTTAACACAACAGAACTCCTCACCTCCCAAAGGGCTGGACCACACCGGAATTACACTGCATATCTGGTCAATAATGCGGTTTATCCCACTCTGGGGGAAATCTAAACTACCCAACAGTAAGCTACTGACAACAGAAGGAGAATGAACTCAAAGCTGGGGGCATCACGTTGCCCAATTTCAAGCTATATTACAAAGCAGTGATCACCAAGACAGTATGGTAGTGGCACAAAAACAGACTTATAGATCAATGGAACAGAATAGAGAGCCCAGAAATGGACCCTCAACTCTATGGTCAACTAATCTTTGACAAAGCAGGAAAGAATGTCCAAGGGCAAAAAGACAGTCTCTTCAACAAATGGTGTTGGGGAAATTGGACAGCCACATGCAGAAGAATGAAACTGGACCGTTTCCTTACACCACACACAAAAATAGACTCAAAATGGATGAAAGACCTAAGTGTGAGACAGGAATCCATCAAAATCCTAGAGGAGAACATAGGCAGTAACCTCTTTGACATTGCCCACAGCAACTTCTTTCAAGATACATCTCCAAAGGCTAGTGAAACAAAAGCAAAAATGAACTTTTGGGACTTCATCAAGATAAAAAGCTTCTGCACAGCAAAGGAAACAGTCAATAAAACAAAGAGGCAACACATGGAATAGGAGAAGTTATTTGCAAATGACACTAAGAATATGGTGGTAGATGAGACACACACACTGTACTGATACATAAAGGGCTGGTATCCAAGATCTATAAAGAACTTCTCAAACTGAACACCCAAAAACCAAATAATCAAGTCAAAAAATGGGCAGAAGACATGAATAGACACTTCTCCAAATAAGACATACAAATGGCCAACAGACACATCAAAAAATGTTCAACATCATTAGCCATCAGGGAAAATCAATCAAAACCCATTGAGATACCACCTTACACCAGTCAGAATGGCAAAAATGCACAGGGAAAGAAACAACTAATGTTGGAGAGGTTGTGGAGAAAGGGGAACCCTCTTACACCGTTGGTGAGAATGCAAGTTGGTACAGCCACTTTGGAAAACAGTGTGGAGGTGCCTCAAAAAATTAAAAATAGAGTTATCCTATGACCCAGCAATTGCACTCCTGGGTATTTACCCCAAAGACACAGATGTAGTGAAAAGAAGGGCCATATGCACCCCAATGTTCATAGCAGCAATGTCCGCAATAGCCAAACTGTGGAAAGAGCCGAGATGCCCTTCAACAGATGAATGGATAAAGAAGATGTGGTCCATATATACAATGGAATATTACTCAGCCATCAGAAAGGATGAATACCCAACTTTTACATCAGCATGGATGGGACTGGAGGAGATGATGCTAAGTGAAATAAGTCAAGCAGAGAAAGTCAATTATCATATGGTTTCACTTATTTGTGGAACATAAGGAATAGCCTGGAGGACATTAGGAGAAGGAAGGGAAAAATGAGCGGGGGAAATCGGAGGGGGAGATGAACCATGAGAGACGATGGACTCTGAGAAACAAACTGAGGGTTCTAGAGGGGAGGGGGTGGGGGATGGGTTAGCCTGGTGATGGGTATTAAGGAGGGCAGCTACTGCATGGAGCACTGGGTGTTGTACGCAAACAACGGATCGTGGAACACTACATCAAAGACTAATGATGCATTGTATGGTGACTAACATAAAAAAATTGTTAAAAAAAAAAGAGAATGATTCACCTGCAGATTAACCATCTACAACAGAGTCTTCTGCATCTGAAACCGTTCAGAGAATAACAGGACAAAGTACAGATCGGGGTACTCTCTGCAGTGACAGATCCGGCGAGGTTTTACGCGTCCAGGACATATAAAGAACTCCAGGAACTCGACAGGAAGAAAGCAAACCACCCACACTTGGAACGACATGGGGAAAACTAGAGCAGTTCCTTCACCCAGGAAGATAAGTGGTAGCAGGTCCATGTCCACCTGCTCGGGATCAGCAGAAGCACCAGGGCCCCGCGTCGCCGCTGGGGACATCCGCGGAGGCCCACAGGCATCCACCAGGAGACTGCCGCACTGGAGACAATGCTCGGAGCAACGGCCGGGTGCACTAATTCAGTGGGTACAATGGAACTGTCTTTGCCGGGGTACCAGGGACAACAGTGGCTTCTGCCCTACTTCCTCATGGGTCACACCAGTACTTTGAGAATGTCTCTTGTGAAAACACTGTCGGAAGTCAAGGAAGGAGGCTAGTCTGGGAACGGCATGATGCCCGCCTCCCCGACTGTGCTCTTGGGGTCACATCTGCTCATGTGTTCTGTGCCCTCAGAGCCTGTCCTCAAGCTGACAAGCTTCATCTGACGACGATGAGTTTATCAAAGATGTAGGTGACATGTCTCCTCTGTAAGATCAAGCATACCCCCGAGTCTGCTCACGGCAGTGCTAGGAATGGCATGAAGCCACCACAGGAGACCCCACAGGCCCGGGCACCAGCAGCCGGACCACCCGGAGACCGGCCGCCCACACCCCAGAAACATCCTTCTCGCTACGGAATAACCGTAACGAGCTGCCGTGAGAGAGATGGAGGGCTTGATCCCAGATCTGGGGGGAAACGTAAAAGCTTCTGAATCCACCCAAGCACGAGGGCATTTCATCACCAGCAAGCACACTTGCCACCAGTGTGAGCATCTTGCTACGGGAAAGCTGCATTTACCATGAAGCCTGCGGCGCGAGCACTCAGCCCCCCCCTCCCCCCGTTGCACCGAGGGGCAGGCTGACGCTGACATCACTTCCTCGAATGAACACATCACTCCGTGTGCACCATCTGGAATCCCAAGCCACCCAGGGTCTGGGTTTTGGGGTGATAGGGTCACCAGAGCTGAGCCACTATCACATGTGATCAGGCTGATTTTGGTCCCTAAGCCCCCAGCCTCACTGCAAGCTGCCCCAGGTGCCCATGAGTGAGTGCAAACGCAGGCTGCACGCGCTGAGCCCCCCGGGCACACTCGTCCAGCTCATAGATCTTGTGACACACGGCTCCTGTGTGTGGAAATTTTCCCGCAGGCTCCATCAGCTCTGAGTCGGTTTGGGCTCCTAGGACCTCCTTCTCACAGCTCTGGAGGCTGGGAGCCCTGGATCCAGGTGCTGGTGACGGCCGCTCTCGGCTTGCGGACCCCGCCTACACACTGTGCCCCCCTCCCAAGGCAGACAGGGATTCTGCTGTGTCTTTTACACGGGCACTGACCCCACCATGGGGCCCAAACCTCAGGATCTCACCCAACCTTCTTTCCCAATGACACCCCTTCCCAACATGGTCACACTGGGGGTTAGGGCAGCAACACGTGAATTTTGAGGGGACCAAACATTCAATCCACAGCAAGTCCCCCCATAAAATAATCTGCAGTATGAGGACCGAGCCACCTGGGAAGGCAGGGCCCAGAGCAGCCAAGAACGCAGGCGAGGGGACCCGCAGCGTGGGCAGCCTCCCAGCCAGGATGGCAGGTGCAGCTCCTGGGAACTACCTCTCACCTCCAGCTTCCCGCGAAGGAGGGGATGGGAACCAGGAGAAGCATCGGTGGCAATTCCTGCCCTGAGTCTGCGCTGCTCTGGCCAAAGGGCCACCGACCAGGACCTCCTCCAAATCCACACAAACATGAAAAAAACCAATGTTCTCTTTGAGGAAGGGGAGAGAGGGAAAGAGGAATTTTTTTCTTTACTTAAAAACTACAACTGTGTTCTCCAAAATCAGTCTCCCGGACTAAGGTCAAGGTGTGTATACACAGGGCCGGCTCCTCCTGGCAGCTCCAAGGAGAAGTATTTTCAGGGGGATGCTCACCCTCAGCTTGACCAGCTGGCTCATTAGTGGTTTACGACGGGCGCAAAGTGCACATTTCAGAGTATGAATGTAGCCACGGTGCAGAAAGCTGGCTGGCTGGAGAGACATGAGATGCACGACACCCATCAGGACGCTGGTGGCGTTGCAGCCCAGATGCGGACAACTTCGAAGAAAAGGCACAAAAAATTTTCCAAGGGAAGAAGAACCCGCTTAAACAGACCGTTTAAAAACCGTATCAGGCCGGACAGGAAGCCGCAAGTCGGGAGGTTCACTTTGTGAAGGAAAACTGAGCCAATGAGATTAAAGAACCCGTTTGTTTATGGTAATATTCATGTTCTGTGGCTACTTTGTTACAACAAAAGAGCAAGGAGGGAAAGGGGGAAAAAGCTGAAGGGAAAGGCATTATTTGCCCTTTACGATCTGACAAAGAAATCCCAAAACACGTCTTCCACCTTCGGCTGCAAACAGTCAAGGGACAGAGCGTCCCTCGTCCAAAGCAGAGAGGGCCGGTCAGGCTACAGAGCCTCTGAGCACAGAGGCCGAGTGGGCATCTTCCGCGCACGGGCACTCCCTCCAAGAAGCTACTTTTCATTGGCAAAACTAAGATGATTTTTCAAAATCACTCAATTGGAGTAAGTTGACCACAAGGAGATACTCTCTCCCACTGTCTCCGAACCCTCCACACCCCGACCGTGGCCGCGCTCCAAGCCCCGTCCACGCAGGAGCATCACATTTCTGGAGAACTGTTCTTGAGTGTGTGTCTCGTGAACGGCACATGCACGCGGGCTCACATCCACGCGTTTGGGCCTCAGAGCCACACAGGTGCCCAGCAAGCTCCCCACATGTGCAGGCTGCTCCAGCATCTTTACCATGTCGGGGGGGTGGGGGGGACTTTGGGAACTGTGACAGCATCTAAGTCCTCAGCTAACTCTCTCTCCGGACCATTGTGTCCAGAGTCCCGGATTCTGACACAATGCTGACAGGGACATGCTGTCAGGGACGGAAGAGCTCCAGGAGCCATACGTCGGCAGCCACAGGGATGGGGCCGGCGCCACTCAGACCCACCTCGCTGAGCAGTGAAAGCACAGACAGGTCTCCCAAACAGGCGTGGCCGACGTGGGGAAGGGGGCACATGAGCTCTGTGGACAGAATCCTAGCATCACACCGCCTGCCAGAAGTCTCCAGCTCCAAACTCGGTCGCTCCCCAGGTGAGTGCCTCCTTACTGAGCAGGGAAGGCAGCAAGGAGGCCAGTGCAGGGGAGAAGTATAGCCAGACACACAGAGGTGAGTGTGGGAGGACCAGGCAGGGGGACACCTGGGAGGGCCCCACCTGGCAGACAAAGGGCTTCTGCCTCCCAGAAGAGATCACACAGGGCCTTGAGGACAGAGGATGTGCAGACACCAGCATGTGCCTTCCACTGCCCTGGTGATGTCACAGTCCCCGAACACCGTACTAACGCCGCACCCATGCCAGTCATGACGCCGCAGCAAAAACAGAATCAAGGTCACAGACAGCACGGGTCTGCACAGATACTCATCATGGGTTTTTACAGGATTCCAGAAAACTCTTACATGTACACCTATGCACGCTTCTAAGTTAACACCTAAAATTCTTCTCCATAAGTTTAATAGTGGCAAATGACATAAAGTGTTGTATGACTTATATTGAAATTTTGAAATAAAACTTTTATATCGTCCCCTCTCACATGCATCAATGGGAATAGAAATGGCACACCAATTTCATCCTGACTACTGTCCACTGGAAAACATATGAACAAGTTCATCTTCAATGGTTGAAGATGTTACGTTCCGCATTTTTGTCCTTAAATTCTTATTTCCATTCCACCTTCCCTCACAGAATTGTATCCTACCATAATGCATGTTTAGTTTTTTTTTTTAAGATTTTATTTATTTATTTGACAGAGAGAGGGACAGCGAGAGCAGGAACACAAGCAGGGGGAGAGGGAGAGGGAGAAGCAGGCTTCCCGTGGAGCAGGGAGCCCGATGCGGGGCTCGATCCCAGGACCCTGGGACCATGACCTGAGCCGAAGGCAGGTGCTCAATGACTGAGCCACCCAGGCACCCAGCATGTTTAGTTTATATAGACTTCTTTCTGTGTACACACACATGTACATATATACATGTACAGATATACAATCAGAAATGTATTTTCAATTTTCTGTGACAAAGATTCTAAATGGTAAAAAATGCTATTTGGTTAAATTATCATTATTCTGACAGGTATATAATTGAGCCTAAAATATAAATACCCTAAAATTTTTTATTAAACATTAAAATTTAGCTGGCAATGCGTCTCTTAGTGAAACAGAGATTTTTCACGATTCCTTAATGTGTGCATGGGTGAATGTCACGTGTTAGTGAAGACGACAGCCAAGCACCGACTGCTGAATGCTACCAGTGCTGAGACACTTAGATCACGATGATGGTGCGGCATCTGGTTATGGCAACAACCCTCAACTGTTGCACGTCCTTCGGAAAGTATCTTTCACCAACAAGTATTTTTATTCATTGTCATATCTCAGTTATGTTGAAAGTTAGAAATTGGAAACCAAAAATTGTTTCCTCTTCATTACAGCCATTGCTTTCTTCAGCAGCAAGTCCACCATGCACTGCCCCTTCCTCTGAGGGTCACTTCTTAGCCGGGCAACACGGGACAGTAAGATCGTGCTGGGAAGGCAGGTGCCCACGCGCATTCATAAAGCGGGGGAAGGGCAGCGTGAGAACCGAGGGGAAAGACGTACAAGCACAATCAGATGCTTTCTAAGAGTAATAGGTCTTGGGAAAAAGCACATATGAAACCTAGGATCTGGGGATTAATTTCCTTAGAACAATCCCGTATCATGTCCTCCAGAAAAAGTGTTGATGCTCTGGAAGAGTAAGCACTGCACTTTGAAGATACTTGTTAAGAAAAAATAGTAAGGGTGGCTCAGTTGGTTGGGCAACTGCCTTCGGCTCAGGTCATGATCCTGGAGTCCCGGGATCGAGTCCCACATCGGGCTCCCTGCTCAGCGGGGAGTCTGCTTCTCCCTCTGACCTTCCTCCCTCTCATGCTCTCTCTCTACCATTCTCTCTCTCTCTCTCAATAATAAAAATCTTTTACAAAAAGACAAAATAGTAAGACAGAGGCCCTTTCTTATTCAAAATGTCAAAAAACTAAATGTCTTTTGTACCCATCTTCTTAAGCTCAGAAAACGCTCATACATAAGTGATATTTTCCCATGTACCCAAGATTGTGGCATGACTTCCAAAATATGGAAAGACAGAAAGAAAAAATAGCCATGTGCATTTTCATTCCTGTAACAGTGTTCTCGCTGAAACAAGGGTCTGCAGGAGCCGTGTGGACACGGTTCCAGGGTGGTTCTGAGCCATTTAACGTGCCTGATTTTAATCCACACGGCAGTGGCAGACGCACATTTATTAGCGTCTGGGGTATTCCACAAGGTAGGAAGTTAGAGGCAACGTCTACAAGCAAGCAGTGTGAGAACCTGCCTTAGTCAGAGGATTCTGTCACTGTCACATTATTTCCTAGAGAAGGCAGACTCCGTGGTGGAACTCGGAGAACTGGGGCAGGTTTCCTCAATCACAGAAAACTGAAGGCCCTCCCTGATGGGTGCTGGTGTCCTGTGGTGCCCACGCTCCTCTCTGGAATATGGCAGCAGAGCCGATCAGCAACTCTGCCCCGAAGCGTGCACCAGGACATTGGGTGGGCACCTTGTGTCGGGTCTTCTGGCGGAGGGCACACAGTGAGAGCTGCAGGTTGGCAGGGTCCTCCAGAGGGTCCCTAAGGAAGATGGTGCCCAAGACACACGTCTGTACCTTAGAAGAGTCACAGTGGGGTGTGACTGGCAGACAGTAAGTCCTCGTGAGTTAACACACTGTAAGCAGCACAATAAGCCAGCAGACACCAAATGAGAGAAATAGTTGATAAAATCAGTGCTCAGGGGGCTCCTGGGTGGCTCAGTTGTTAGGCATCTGCCTTCAGCTCAGGTCATGATCCCAGGGTCCTAGGATTGAGCCCCGAGTTGGGCTCCCTGCTCCACAGGAAGCCTGCTTCCCCCTCTCCCACTCCCCCTGCTTATGTTCCCTCTCTTGCCGTCTGTCAAATAAATAAATAAAATCTTTAAAAACAAAAATCAGTGCTCAGGATGAGCTGGGACAGCCCTCAATTACCCTGACATAGAAACTAGAACTCCAGTGTGTTGACAATGATTGATTTGAATTTTCTATAATAACTGAACCCACACTTCTCAACTCCCTTTATGAAGAATTAAAATATTTTACTGAGCATTAATATTTTACTGATCATAAAATATTTTACTGAGTGCCTGGAGATTAAGAAAGGAGGATGCTTAGCTTTAAAATATTAATCCACATGAAATAACAAAGTATCTTACATTTCAGTATTTAGGTATAAGCACATAGTTGAAAGTCTGATGAGACAGAAGATTATTTGTCATCAGTTGCCGAGACGGCCTGGGACTTGCATGGTTCCAAAGGGGAATTGAAGCTAAAAGTCGATCCAGATATCACCTGTTACTATGAGTTACCTATGGTGTTCCACAGAAATGAGCAGACACCTGTGAATCCCCATCTTTCGAATGAGAGTCGCATCATCTCAATGCATTCAACTTTTTAAAAAAAGAAACAAAAATCACAGCACAAAACGCAGGTGAAGTCATTGTTGCTGCAGAGAACCCAAAGAACACATCAAGAAGAGAGGCGTAGTCCCCACAGCGACAATCACGGGGGCTTTTACACCAATTCTGTGAGTGTGATTCTGTGGCTCTAGGATGTAATTCCTTCACGTGTCTTCGACGTATCCAACCAAAACTCTGGGTCCCACTGGATTCCCTTTTGTGTGTGTGATCTTAGGGCCCCGTTCCCAGCCTCATGGTCCATCATTATGGTATTAATGTAGTACTTGGGCAACGCTTTGTTTTTCAGAGGGCTGCAAACATTGAAACACTAATTACAGGACTTAATCACTGTTGGAGGGAGTCTCAAACGCTTTCATACCATCCTTCGCTGTTTGCATTCTTATGCTCTTACACACACACACACACACACACACACACACACACACACCTTGAGGAAATATCAGTTAGTCTCTTGGATGTTTTTACCCTCCTATGAGCCGTGTTAGGAATCAAACTTACAAAAACACATGTAAGATACTTTAATAACAATTTTATAAGGATTATGTTAAAGTATACTGTGTTAAAGAAAATATGCTACTAAACCTAATTTCACCTGCTTATTTCTCCTTGTTTTAATGTGAGTCCTAGTGAATCTAAAATCAGGTAAGTGCTTCCCATTTTGTGTCTGTTGACACTGCAGGATGAAGGAACACTCACCTTGGACTGGACTCACTCGGCTGGACTGAAGAGGGGGAAATTCTCATTCTTGACATACCGTGTGCAGTAAATATGAATCACTTCCCTAAATATGAATCACTTCCCTAACTTTTAAGGAAAATCATTTTAAAAAGAAAATAGGCTTCTGAGGATAAATGTCTCACCTAGTGTTAGGACAGACCCACAGAGGCGGCCAAGGATGTCATGTACATTTAAAGGTGGGCAGTGGGGGTAGTGAGTGCTGGGGTCATATGAACACCTGAGTCCAGGACTGGGAGTTCTCCCGATAATCCACATATCTGGATACAAAACAGCAACAACCAGCAAATCCGTTTTGAGCTCGGCTACCGTGGGCACCAGAAACTGAGACAGTTAGACTGTAAGAGTTTCTGCCAAGTGTTCTTCTCTATTTGAAACGGAGACCAGCACAGTTTTCTATGAAATGATTTTGATCCAGAGACTCTCCGTTCCTTTTATGAGAAGCATTTGCTGACCATGGACATTAAAAAAGTACACCTTTGAGGTTTGAGTATTTGCACAATATTTTGGGGGGACGTGGTCAAGGAAATCTGGCCAGAAAAGTAGAAACACAGATGATGAAGTCTTTAGAGTTTTGGGAAATTTAAGCAATCACAGATATAAATTAAGGGATTTTGCAATTACTGCCCAATGTTGCCACTAATGCTGGAGGAGGGACTGAGTCCAATGTGATGTCTTACAGTGGATAAGAGAAAGTAATCCTCATCTGGTTGTGCAATGCCTGAACCCAGTGACCACAAGCTGCCCTACCCATGACCAGCCTTGACAGTGCGTATGTTCACGAAGCACGCACA